TTCGCATTTGCTGCGATCTTGGCTGATGGATGTGTTGTTACCTGGGGCAATCCAATTTGGGGCGGTGACAGCTCCCTAGTTCAAGATCAGCTCAGGAATGTGCAGAAAATTCAGGCCACGCCTGGTGGTGCATTTGCCGCGATCTTGGCCGATGGATCAGTGGTTGCTTGGGGTGATCCGTGCAAAGGTGGTGAGTGCTCTGCAGTTCAAGATCAGCTGAGAAATGTGCAGCAAATTGGGGCCACATTTCAACGTTTCAGGCCTTTGCCGCGATCCTGGCCGATGGATCCGTCATTGCCTGGGGCCATCAAGATAAAGGTGGTGACTGCTCCTCAGTTCAAGATCAGCTCAAGAATGTACGGCAAATTCAGGCCACAAATTTCGCATTTGCTGCAATCTTGGCCGATGGATCGGTTGTTGCCTGGGGCGATCGAGACCGAGGTGGTGATTGCTCAGCAGTTCAACATCATCTCAAGAATGTGCAGCAGATTCAGGCTGCAGCAAATGGTTCATTTGCGGCGATCTTGGCTGATGGATCGGTGGTTGCCTGGGGCGATCCTGAGTCTGCTGGTGACTGCTCTGCAGTTCAAGATCAGCTCAAGAACGTGCAGCACATTCAGGCCACATACGGAGCATTTGCTGCGATCCTGGCCGATGGATCAGTGGTTGCCTGGGGCAGTCGAGGCTATGGCGGGGACTGCTCTGCAAGTCAAGATCACCTCAGGAATGTGCAACAGATTCAGGCCACAGAATGCGCATTTGCCGCGATCTTGGCCAATGGATCGGTGGTTGCCTGGGGCAATCCAGGCCGTGGTGGTGATTGCTCAGCAGTTCAAGATCAGCTCAGGAATGTGGATCAAATTCAGGCCACAGAAGGGGCGTTTGCTGCGACCTTGGCAGATGGATCGGTGGTTGCCTGGGGCGATCCAGAGTGTGGCGGTGATTGTTCTGCAGTTCAAGATCAGCTCAAGAACGTGCAGCACATTCAGGCCACATACGGAGCATTTGCTGCGAGCCTGGCGGATGGATCGGTCGTTGCCTGGGGAAATCAAGAGAAAGGTGGTGACTGCTCTGGAATTGAAGATCAGGTCCAGTATTTGTAGACCAGATTGTTGAGAGCAGGGCATTACTTCTGAGAAGAAACAGCTTGTCTGACATTTTCCCGATGTATCCCAGACCCTCCATTGACCGATAAGAATTGACATGTTAGCCCCATAATTGTGCACTTTTTACAATGTGTTGTGGGTATTTTTTTGTGTCTTGGTAGAAACCGGATGTCTGAAAATTGGATTGCATGATGTACACATATATTCTGGCCATTTAGAAAAGGGCTTAAAATTCTTTGACAAACCATGAGATCATGGTTACCCTATGACAAACCCATGTTGTGTTTATTGCTGCAGCAGATCTGGTTGCCACTGAAATTTATCCACCACTCAGCTGGTGGCGGATGGATCTATGGTCCAATGGTGGATTTATAGCCTTGCCCCCGTGAAAATGGCCTAGCGAGATGTTGACGCACATGACTTGGTTAACATTTTGGTTTGCGAGGGATAATGATATAACTATATATAGTAACTATATAGTATTCATGGGTTTACAAGGCAACAATTACATAACTGGGGGGCTTTACCTTGTAACAGTCTCATTCCAAAACTGTCATTTTTTGGGGGGAACGGAAATGGTTTCGCCGTACTCCAGAATTTAAGAAACACCCCATGAAGGGAATTTGACTGATCCAGCGTTTGATCATTTTGTGTTGCTGAAATCAAAGCTTAATCCACAGACATTTCTAATTGTTCGATAGATATCATTACAACATGTGGCCCCGAAGTTATAAGTTTGTTTACAATTCAAAACCCCATCCAGCATAGCTCTATACATACATACCCTATATAAATTGCAAACGGACTTAGCTATTGACCGGGAGCCCCACGTTGTAAGATTCGCCAGCTGAGCCATTGAAAATACCCCTGTTGATTGGGTCATAGGATATTACTTGCGTCTTTTGGGGATTGTGAACAAACCCATCGGATTGGGAGTTTTCGAAAACACGGTGAAGCCCAACTAGTAACTATAATGAACAAATACACCCAAGATAGCTAAGTTGGCTTATAACTGTTATAACTCCAATAACTATGGTGGTTTATCAACCAATTTACAACGTTTGGCCCCACATTGAGTCGTAGCAACATCCAACGTCCGACTCGTCGCTCGATGTCACTCGATGTCACTCGAGACTCGAGGTGCGTCCAGCAACTCGACCTTCGAAGTTCTGAACTCTCCATGCCATGCGGGTGACTATGCAACCTTGAAGGCAACGATGCCAACCTGGGGGACTCCAAAGATTGGTTTTGTTTAAGGTGATTTGTTATTTTACCAATAGGAAATCCACCATGACTGGGGAATCGATTAAGTGAATATGTTTTTATTTTTTGGGGACCCCTTAAGCAAATTCAAGCAAAGATTGGTATTGTGGATTCATGGCTAAGTGACAAACAGGATGGGTGAATGGTATATATTGGGGATAAAACACATGTAATATATTACATTATATAATCAACCATCTGATATGTTGGGTATTTTGGGTGTGTCTGAAAGTGGTATACCATGGTATAGCACCAAAATGACCATGTTAATTGAGAAGCTGATGATAATATAATGTGATATAATGTGTACAGTGTAGAATCTGTTTTAAGTCAAACCCAAATGTCCCATTGTGTGGGTCCAAAACGGAACCCCATTTGCACTTGACCCCTTGGGTAGGTTGATGAATCAATGATGTTTGGCATTTTCCCATTGATTAATCCATGAATTGGGGAATCTACTTGGAATATCTTGGAATATGCTTTATTTTCTTTGGCCCCCGATAAGCAAATCCAAGTAGCTAGGCTAGTTTCATGATGTTCGATGAGTTAGAAATCTTTTCGATGGCTTGACCATTTTTCATGCGCATTTCTATCAATGGAAATTCCAGGATCCTAAAATGGAGGTACTGTACCATATAAGACCATATTTGGGTGGGATATTCCCTTACATAGGCCTCAAAAATAGGCCAAAAATACATGGTAGGTACCTCCAATAAATCGGTTCCTGAGTCATGGCCATTGATTCTATGGGTGTTTCTGAAAATTGCTCTAGACCATTGGATTCGCCAAAATTTTGAGGGCCATGACTGAGCAGCAATTTATGAGCCCAGCCTTTATCAGAAAGCAGGCCTCCCAGTTGTGGAATGCAATTTTTGTTCATCAACAATATTAAATGATATTTTTTTGGGACGTAAATGGTGATTTAGTGGAAATGATTTTTGATGGCATGTTGAATATGTGTGGTTTAAGACAACCTTTGAACTATAGATATATTATGATATGATATATCATTGAGAAACCCAACATTTAATGTCTATAGCTACAATGTGGCCCCCCTAGTCATAAGTTGGTTTAAACACCCTATTAACTAGTTCGTTATATCTACCATAAGCCATAGATTTCAGCCACTTATAAGGCGTTTCTGAACGCGAGCTCGACAACGGGGGCCCCACATTGTATGAACCAACGGTTGCGCAGGTGACCGCTCGAGACATGTGGGGTGACCCTTTGACCCACGGGCAACCTGGCATCGCTGGCATCGCTGTCATCGATCACCGGAGGGTAGTCAAAATCGAAGCCCTATGGGACCAGAGATTTTTGTCATCCTCTCCTAGTATTAAACACCCCCCTAGTTTGGTCCCAATTATGTCGAAATTCCATATTAAACCATGGTTATTCAACGTAGCTAACTGGAAAATGACAATCTTTGATAGCTAAATCATCTATTTCTATGGTCCATTTTCCAGTTCGCTATGTTGAATTACCAGAGGGTAGGTCCTATGGGACCACATTTTTTAGTAATCCCCTCCTAATATTAAACACCCAAATGGTCCCAATGGAATGTGGAAATGAACCGTATTAAACCATGGTTTCGTTTAGGGGTGTTTATATTATGAACGGGGGATGGGATTTTGTGTTTTGTATTAACCATCCGATAGTTTGGGTACCCAATCTTGGCCCATAGCCATATATGGAAAAGAGATGGTTTCCCTTGTAATCGACATTAATACACATGCTGGGTTTTCTATATATGGAGGTTTCCATTAAGTCATGGGGATACCCCCAAATCATCCAGTCGTCATGGATGACCATGACGACTAGTATTGAAACCCATAGTGACGACTGGGGATCCCCCATGACTTAAGAAAGCCCCATATGTTCCTGCTTTGGTCGAGTCGATGTGGGGCACCCGATAGCTAAGTTGGTTTACAACTTAACTAAACAAATAGGTTTATAACTCTAATAAGTAGGACTTATGGTAGATATATCTATAGTTATAGAGTTATAAATTAACTTATAACTAGGCGGGGGCTTACTTTGTGGTGATTACATCATCTAACCATGGGAATCACATTGGCCAAGATGAGATTGAGGCTACCCTTCGGCAATCAAACATGGCTAGCTGGGAAATCACCGAACTAAACAGATTTTTGATAAGAACATCATCTATAAATGGGCTATTTTCCATTGCCATCTTTAAAAACTATATGGTTTATAGGTGATATATAGGTGATATATAGGTGATACACCTACAAAAACTATATGGTTTATATAGGTGATATATCCATAGTCTATATACCATCTGGTTATGACTAACATAGCCATGGAAAGATCCACCCATTTTTAAGTTAGGTAAACCTCTATAAATGGGCCATTTCCCATAGCTACGTTTCCATTGCCATGTTTAAAAAAACGGGAGGGTAATTGGTATAGACCCACAATGCGGGGCCCCCTAATCATAAATTGATTTTTAAACCCCATTAACTATAGTTAGTACCATAAACCATAGTTATTGGACGTATAAACCAACTTAGCTATCTTGGGGGCCCCACATTGCAACGATTTGGCGAAATACCGAGAAAACATGAGAAAACGGATGTTTTGTGAACCCAAGGTCGGCCCTCTTTTTTTTTCGCTGTAACCAGGTGAAATCTTGAGCAGTTCGACCGAAGGGTTGTGCGTCAGGAGTTCCATTGGTATCTGAAGGTGACGTGTTTGTCCAACAAGGATGCGAGTTGTGAGTTTGAACATTGCGTTCATGCAATGAGGATGCGTTCAAACATTTTTGTTTCCATAATATATGGGATCATCCTTCCCATTGACGAACTCATATGTTTCAATATGGTTAAAACCACCAACCAGGTTTGTTTTCCAGCAACATGTGCGAACTTGAAGTCTTGAAGATTGGAAGATTGTCGAGGGGGCACACCAGTACAACAGTGTTTGCTAGCTGTGCTTTGTGTTCTTTTCACACCCCCAGTCCTTGGTGTTTTCCAAGCGCGGTTCATCCCTCCATGGTGCTGGATGTATTTACCTACAAAACTCATAAAACTGGGTGATTTTTACAGGGCAAATGTTGGGATTCATATTCCAGCACCATGCTTCGCATATGGATACTAGTTCAATCTTCTTAGCGAACCAGTATCCTTTACCATGGTCGAAAACATGGGAAATGTGGGGTTTCCCGGCAACATCGTCGATCATCCCGTGGGGAAGGCACTATACCTTTTTGGTCTACTTCTGGCGAGAGGTTGAAGGCACTTTCTGGCTGAAAAAGGGCGAGGCGGATTTCCCTTTTGATACCCGTTTTTGGCAATGAAAACCTTGCAACCTGCCGTTGATTCGGTGGGTTTGTGAAGAACAAGGGATGATATATATATATATATACATAACTATATATACATTATATACTTATAGTTACATTATATATATATAAATAAATACATTTTATATATAACTATATATATTATAACTATATATATATATATTTCAACTATATATATTATAACTATATATATAATATATAACTATATATATGTTTATGTATGATGTACTGTATATCTTAAGGCCATTTTGGAACTAAAAAGACAAGCAACTAGCCCAATTTGTCGCTACAGATAGTTGGTCAGATACTGATAGACTTGGAATCCAAGTGATCCAATGATCCTACTTGACGTTACAATCCAATGTGAAAGTCTTTTGGTTTCGAGGCAGGAATCGGTGAGTTAACCACTATTTCTATGGTGATTTAACCACTATTTCTATGGTGATTTAATGGTTAACAATGGTGAATAATGGGATGATAATAGGATGATAATGTATTGATATATGTTTCAATTGTGATACCTCAAACCCAAATGAGCAGTGTTCAAAACCCGAGTTGCTGTGAAGATTATGGACTAATCACGGCCCAGCAAAGTGAATGTCCCCTTTGTTGCTTGCTCTATCAGCATTGTTCCACCGGATTTCCACTGTAAATCCTGAGATGGATATACATAGACAGGTACAGATAGACTGATAGGTAGATGGATAGATCGATGGATCATACCCCGCCAAAAATCGTTCAGGTTGATCCCACAAGCCATCACAAGCCATCACAAGCCATCACAGGCCATGTGAGTTTGTCACTGTTGGTTCCACTGGATAAAGATTCCGACCAAGGCATCTTAACCAGCCGAAAAAAAGGCCATACCAAGGATAGATTTACCCATTGTTTTCTGTTGTGATATTACCATTTCTTCCAGTAAATGTCCAGGGTCAATCCCCCACTATAGCCATATATAAACTACAATTTGGGTTTATCAATATTTTTGAAATAATTTCTATCCAGTAAATAATATATATATATATATATGTGATACATTAGTTTACCCATCAACATTGTAAACTATACAAGTGTTGAAATATGTACACAACACTAGTCTCATATATAGCATATACATACATATACATACATATACATACATATACGTACATATACATACACATTGATTGATATATAGATCGATAGATAGATAGATGAAGTCTTCTGTTTCAGTGTGACCAAACTGTGTGAGACAAACTCGAACTTCTTTTTGTTTTTATCCTGTTGGGCAATCAATTTATATCCGCGCCATCCATTCAAGTGGACCAAAGATTCCACTCAAATGCAACAGGGAAACATTTGTCATTTTTTTGACCCACCCTGACGTTTCGCGTGAGCGTGCCATGGATGCAAGTCAATCGGTGCAACTCACTCACGCCCAACTGATTGCGCTGGCGATCGCATTGATCTGTGAATTCGCCCGCAGATTGGGAGAAACTATAACTGTCAGAGCTTCGGTTGGAGATGCTCCAGCGTCAGAAAATGTCACCATGGAATCTGGCATGGTTCCTGTTGCTAGCTCTGGCATCGTTGAGCCAATGGCTGGCACTCCCTGCAGTTGGACCTGCACCGTGGACGGCTGCTCCAATTGGTGCGCTGGGCAAGGTGAACATGACCGACATCACTGTCGTTATCATCAGTGGTATTGACCAAGCTTCAGATGGTTCTCCAAAACATTTAGTTGGGGATGTGCCGGTTTTGGAGATTCCTCATGTTTTTCCTGCAGGTGTTGCTGGAAGCGTTGACAGGTTAGAAGAGTGCCCAGTCCTTTTGGATGAAGTGGAACGATAGATAGATAGATTGATAGATAGATAGATATATAGATAGAATGATAGAATGATAGACATATAGACATATAGACATATAGACAAGATAAGATAAGACAAGACAAGATATACAATATGTAGATAGCCCATCAATTGGTACACCAAAATCCAGGTGGGCTTCGCCACTCCGCCCCAGAGGTTTCCGTCCTCAGTCCTTACTCTGCGAGCCGATTTGTGAGGGACCTGCCGCACAGCCAAAGAGGCGCCAAAATGTCGGGATGAGGGAACAAAATACAATGTGGGGCCCCCAAACGTTATCAATTGGTTTTGAAAACCATTATAAACCCTATAAAGACTATAGTTGCAGTATTTGCGTATCATAAACCATGTAGTTATTGAAGTTATGTTCACCAAGTGAACAGCTATAAATCCCATAACACCACCATTTTCCTATGGTTTTCCTATGATTTTATCGTGGCCACGGGCCCCACGACTTGTATGGTCATTTCATGGGGTAGGTTTATGGTGACTTTATGGTGATCCTAAAGTGGATTTGATTCAGGAAATTCTTAGGCATTTGAGCAAACTTGGTTGGATGAATTTTTTATTTACCTTCTGGTAAACTAACATAGCGAACTGGAAAATCACCATGCTGTTGAGTTCGGTAAACCATCTATAAATGGGGTACCCTTTGGTAATTTGTTACAGTTTGCTATTGAAGCCATGGCCCATTTATAGATTGTTTACCTATTGAACATGGTGATTTTCAATAGCTATGTAACAAATTACCAGAGGGTAATAGTTTTTTTGTTTAAACGATTTAATCATCATTTATAGGAGATTTCTGGGATTCAACTATCAAACAAATGGAAATTTAATTGATACGTGATGCTTGGTGATTGTGGAATTTAAGAGGGATGTTCGCTATCAAACTATTGGAATGTAACTGGATAAAACTGATCTGGTTACTGGTTTGGAACATTTTTTATTTTCCATAATATATGGGAATAATCACCCCAACTGACGAACTCATCTTTTTTAGAGGGGTAGGTATACCACCAACCAGTGATAAATGATGGTGGATTGATGAGCAAAACCAAGGATTCTAGCAAGGGATTGTCACAATCCATGGAGCTGGGAAATCCGTTCCATTCAGGAGAAACAAAAGGGATGACGCTGGGCGTTTGAACACTGTTCATACAATGTGGGGCCCCCGTTCGATAGCTAAGTTGGTTTATAACTCCAATAACTATGGTTTGTGGTACTTCTAACTATAGTATTCATGGGGTTTATAAACCAACTTATAACTGGGGGGCCCCACATTGTATGGGTTTCCTTGAGAATAGATTACACCTAAATATCCGGATCTATCATCAGTTCCCAATTATGATGACGATTTATTGGGGTACTTCATTTTTAAATAGACCCATGTGGCTCTAAATCGGGATTGAACTTTCATAGCGGGGTCTACCAGCAAGACATGTCGTTATCATGTAACTTTTGTTGAATGTTGTAGAGAAGTGAGTTTACACTTTGTTCATGATTAAAAGCGTTGGAAAATGTGTGTTTAATTGATACAAGGTAAGGCCCCAAAACAATAGCTAAGTAGGTTTAGCTCACTACAATAACTATGGTTTCTGGTAAGATATAGCCATAATATGCATGGTTTTTTATTTCCAGCACACATATGGTCAAATCCGATTAACATGTATCAAATCACCATTTCAGTCCCATAACATCACCATGCTGCTGGCTAAAAAAAAACAACGCACCGGGGTGGCCTCACCTTGTATGTTAGTCTTGGTTAATGCAGCTTTGGACACCTTGCATGGCAGATTAAAAAAACAAACGCATAAAGGGGATGGGGATGTCAACCAGCCAAACAAATATGTTGTGTGCAATGTATCCAATATTTTTCCATGGCATGTTCAAGGAACATATGTGTCTTTAAATGATGCTACTTTACAATATGTTCAACGAATATTTGCAAGATTTCAAGGATTGATATTCTTTGGGTAATCATACCTGGCAATCGAACATCACCATGTTTGATGGGAAAACAATCTGAAAATATATGATTGAGACATGGATGTGAGCTGAATTTGTTTTTTACCAGGATTGATTACCGCAAACCCAAGATAAATCACTTTCGTTTGGATGTGACAATTGTTGTGTTCAACCGAAAGAACTAATACACTGTAGTTGTACAGGTATGTCTTGTTTGGTTTTCAGATTGCAAGGTATTTGAACATCAAATACACAGGTCAAAACTACTGAAATGGTGTTGTTCTTGGTTAAGTGATACCCTCTGGAAATTTAACATAGCTATTGAACATGTCCATTTGTTGGTTGATTTACCCATTAAAAATTATGATTTCCCATAGCTATGTAAGTTTACTAGAGGGTAACTGCAAAGTTCACATCCCGCTCCTTTTGGTCCGAAAGTGACCCAAATGCAGGTCAATATGCCATATGTTTTCAGAAAATCCCAGCCATGAGTAGATCATGTTCCCATTAAAAACTTCCAGTCATACGGGATTTCATGGGATGTCCCATATTTCCATGGTTTTCCTATGGTTTTCCTATATGTTCCTATGTTTTTCCATGTTTTCCTGTGTTTTTCCTATGGTTTTCCGAAAATCTCCGCCATTTGTTTGTTACTTACCACCCCCGGGGTTCACCCCGCGAAGGCTCGTGGTTTCGGATGCCAATGTCACCTTGGTGAACGTCCAGGCAGAGGCGCTGCAGGAATTTATTGGTAGGTGCATGGGGCAATGTATATGTATCTATATATATATATATATGTGCAAGGTGGTGCCCCCCAAGTTATGTTTGTTGCTTTATAAGCACATTAACTATAGATATACCACCTATAAACCATAGTTATTGGAGTTATAAAGCAACTTAGCTATCTTGGGGGCAACACTTTGTTTGTATATGAATACATATATATATGATATGATATGTTCTAACCATCAACAATAGGATTCATGTTTGGTTCGATGGAGCAAGATAAACCAACAACCATAGGTGGTCAATAGTATAATATGATTCCATTTAATAGGATTTAACCACCAAACATGCTCATTTAATGGGATTTAATCATTACATTGTGATTTAATGGGGACTTCTTCTCCAGTAGACCAACGTAGCTATGGAAAATCCATGAAAGTCCAAATTTATAGATGATTGATTTAGCTATTACAAATTGTGATTTCCGTAGCTATGTTTGTTTACAACAGGGTATGTATATACATATATACATATATATATATATGTATAGTTAAAACTGCATATTAATCATCAACAATATAATTGGGAATTACCTGGTTTATTTGTTATTTCATGAAATTTACAACCAATAATATCGACATTAAAAAAAAAACATACACTTAGACATGTCGGTTTGTAAGTAATCTTATATACCCTATAATGAAGATTACTGTGAACCGGGGTCTATGAAATAACTAATACAACTGTCAACAGGTGAGATGGAAGATAATTTGTTGTATATCCAAAACGTGGCAAAAAAATGGGTTTATGGAGTATATTCCTATTTTTTTGGCACGGATGTGGTAAGATAAAGCAACATCTTTTGGAACGTGCAGTGCCCAACATGCTGTATTTATGGGTTCACTAGGTCAACCGCCTTCGTTGCATTCTTAAGGCAAGTTGTGAGCGAAGAGCTATTCCTCAGATTAGCATGGTAAACACATGTTGATATGAAAAAATCTGTTGACCATGAGAAGATCATTTGCTATCATGGTAACAGATGACAACACCCAACTAAATACTAATATTGTTCACCATACTAATCAACTATCATACTAATAGTCGATCATTGATATGGTCAACAGATTTTCTTGTTGTTATTTATGTTGAGGCATATCAATAGATCGGTTTGTGCGCATGGTATTGCGCACGGCACGGTCTTGGGATCCTTGGGTGCATGAATGGTTACCAATGGGCTATGGAGTCAGTTGACTGGTTATAATTTGTAAGTGACTAATGAGCCATGAACTGACCTAAAACCCAGAAACTAGCCAGTTATATCCATGGCCCATCTAGGGATTATATAAACACTACCCTCTGGCAATTTGTTTCATAGCTATGGTATAGATGGTCCATTTATAGTTGATTTACCCATCAATAGCATGGTGATTTTCCAGTTCGCTATGTTAGTTTACCAGAGAGTATGCATATATGAATACATATTGGCGAACATAACTCCAATTTCACTATGGTTTATGATACGCAAATAACTATACTTACTGGTGTTTTTAAACCAACGTTCACATCACGTTTGGGGGGCCCACATTGTATATGTTTTGTCCGTTTTGTTGTTGTCGGAGATCCTCTTTCTACATGTTTTTTGTCGAGGTCAACAGGGGGTTTGAAGCTGCTGAAGCCCATCTTCATCAAGTGGTTTTTCACCTGGGATTTTGTTTTATCCATTGAAAGAGCTTTTAATCACCATTAATGGTGGAATATGAACCAATAATCACCATGTTCAATGGGAACGTCCACTAAAATCACCATGAAATCCTTATCTGGTTGGTTGTTTGGAACACTTGCATTACTTTTCCCATCATATTGGGAATGTCATCATCCCAACTGACTTTCACTCCATCATTTTTCAGAGGGGTAGGTCAACCACAACCAGTCATAGTTTGATGTCAAATGACCAAAGCAAGTCAAAATCCTAAAGAAGAATTTTGGAGTGTTTCGAACAACGTTTTGTAAGAACCACTTTAAGGGTATCATCATCAGCTTTGGGATACGTACCCTCTGGTAAACTAACATAGCTATTGAAAATGGCCATTTATAGTGAGTTTTCCCATTAAAAGTGGTGATTTTCCATAGTTATGTTAGTTTACCAGAGGGTAATATTGAGAATCCAGGAGGAATCACATCCCCAAATTTTCGGTTACTGGTCGTGGGTCCTGGAACAACAGCTCCGTGGCAGCGCCATAACGGCACAAAGTGGTTCGTGGCCCCGTGTCGCGATGTGAACGGCACTGGTTCTTCTCTTTATCCCAGCTGTAGAGTATAATAAGCCGATGAATACTATAGTTGTAAGTACCATAAACATCCATAAACCATAGTGAGATTGGACTTATGTTCACCAACTGAACGCTATCGAACGGGGGCCCCACATGGCCCCACATTGTAGTTTGTATAGTCGACTATGACCAATTTAGCTATAAATCCACGAAAATTCAACATGAAGTCCCACATGTCATGTTTCACCATTTCTGTGTGTTAAGTCCTGCATTTTTGTCCACCATGTTGGGCCGTTGAGCCCCCCTGTGCTGCTCGCAGATCTATGAGTTCTCGTTGGCTTCCAACGTTTCTGGTAGTTATCACACGGTGCGACGCCGAAATGTTTGGTGCCGGTCGGAGGTCGGAGTCGCTTAGCTGGTTGAAACAAGTACAATGTGGAGCCCCCCAGTTATAAGTTGGTTTATAAATCCAATAACTATGGTTTATGGTACTTATAACTATACTTAACTTATTTATCAGAGTATCAGAAACCATAGTTATACTTAACTTATAACGTATAGTATAGTAATAAGTATCAGAAACCATAGTTATTGGAGTTATGTTCACAAACTTAGCTATCGAACGGGGGCACCACTTTGTAGGTGAACCACTTGGATTTCTGGTAGCTATACCGAAGTAGTTGATTTGACATCTGTAGGGATAGTTCTTGGCCATAAATTTCTATTCATTTTTTGGATGTTCTGAAGCCGTTTCGTAATGTTCCCACTAGAATCTGCTGAAAAAAAATATTGTTTATTTTTTTAATGGTCCCCTTAAGCAAATCCTAGATAGGGATTTATGGTGGGTATATCTATAGTTTATTGCAGAACTATTGTAAATAACCATGGTTAATGGGAATGGCTCAGGATCCTAAAATGGAGGTGCGTAAACGTACCATATGTTTGGCCATATTTTGTGGGGATATTCCCTTACATAGCCCTTACATATTCCTAAAAAATAGGCCTTACATATGGTAGGTACCTCCAATAAATCGGTACTTGAAATGGCCATTGACTAGATAAGGATTTATGGTGGGTATATCCGTTAGATGTTGTATACACCAATGTATATCTTGCGGGATCCTCTTTGTAGAGTTTTAGAGATTGATGAGTAGTCCCTTCAAAGGTGACTACTGTAGTTGAAACTCCTTTTTGATCTCGTTTGAATTTTGTTAGCTAAGTTGGTTTGAACTCATGGTATCATGGTATAGGTATATACATATTTGACATGGTTTGGGATGACCAACAAACTTGTGAGTGGAGGGTTTCGCTCCACATGGAGCGAGATACCAATCTGGCATCTTCTATGGAAACTCAGGCGATATGCGATCAACACGAATGACAGCTCTTGCGATTTTCAATGGAATGGGGGTGTAGAGATATGAATATTGTTAAATGATGGGGATATATTTTGATTCAGATGGGATTAACATGCCCATACAAATTAAAGTATATGCATAATGATGAGATACTTATATGGAAATATTTATGATATTTATTCAGTGCATGTCCAGATTCACATGCCCTTGATGCAGATGAATTGATTATTAACATGCGATGTGTAAACCGGGTGCATGGGTATGATGGCTATAGCAGGTGGTTTGACCCAAGAAACATGGTGGCTTATCCCGTAACCGATTGATATGTATAATATATATATATATATGTCTATATACACATAGACATAGAAACTGGCAAATTCTTGGATGGTTACTTCAGTACTACTGAGTCCTTTGCTATACATGGCTATATACTAGCCAGCCTAAACAACTGCAGGGTACTTGTATCTAAAATTGGTAATGCAATGGGGATCTAAGCAAGACCATGGGATTGGAGCCAACCCAAAATAAGGATTCCACGGAAAAACAATGTATTTCAACTAACCAAAACTTTGATTATCTTGGATTTAAGCAGCCATTTTGGCTCAAGGTACAATCACGTGATCTCCTCATCATTTTTGTGGTGGTACTGCTTCCTCATCATGGCTCCCAAGGCAACAAGTGACTTTGAGGCACTGAGGGGCGCACAACGCCTGTGGACACGGTCACGGCGTCCGGGATCCGCGAACGGAGCACCAACAGCGGCCCGATTCTCGACCAGCTTCGAGTGCATGGCGGCAACATGCAGGTGCAGAGCCTGTCATTCGCGCAGTCTCCTGAAACATTCCAAGCTTTGGTGTATACGGTCTGTGCGGCGATCTCCGGCAACTTTGCCGCTTTTGTGTTGTCCATGGCGGCGTTCCTCAGCGACGATCAAGACCTTTACTCGAACTCTCAGAAAACTATAGATAGATAGACAGACAGACAGATAGATAGATAACGATAGATAGATAAAGATAGATCGATCGATAGATCGATAGATCACTAGATCGATAGATAGATAGATAGACAGATGGATAGATAGATTGATTGATAGACAGATGGATAGATGCATGGATCGATCGACAGATAGATAGATCGATCGGTAGATAGATAGAAATATAATATAGATAGAACGATTGATAGAGAGATAGAGAGATAGATAGATAGATAGACAGACAGATAGATAGATAGAAAGATAAATAAATAGATAGATAGATAGATAGATAGATATAGAGAGAGAGATAGATAGATGGATAGATTGATTGATTGATTGGTAGACAGATGGATAGATGCATGGATCGATCGACAGATAGATCGATCGGTAGATAGATAGAAATATAATATAGATAGAACGATTGATAGAGAGATAGAGAGATAGATAGATAGATAGACAGGCAGACAGACAGACAGATAGATAGATAGATAGATATATAGATATATAGATAGATAGATCGATAGATAGATAGCTAGATAGATAGAAAGATAGATAGAGAGAGAGAGATAGATAGATATATAGATAGGAAGATAGATAGATAGATAGATAGATAGATAGAGAGAGAGAGAGATAGATAGATAGATAGATCGATAGATAGATAGATAGATGGATAGATAGACAGATAGATAGATAGATCGACAGACACATAAACACATAAACACATCGACACATAGACACATAGACACATGGAAACATAGATACGTAGATACATAGATATATAGATAGACAGACAGAAAGACAGATAGAGAAATAGATAGATAGAAAAGTTGTAAACCTGTAACCATCAAGTAAATATCATCGAACCAACCCTGGTGGCACACGACGTTTGTTTTTCTCATGTGAGGCGGTGAGCGTGCTGAGACCTGGAGCTTTTTATGGCATTTGGTTGCTTGGTGGGTCGCTTTCATTCAGAACGGTAATTTTTTTTGTGGGGCCCCGTCTACTATAGCGTTCAGTTGGTGAACATAACTCCAATAACTATGGTTTATGATATGCAAATAACTATAATTTTCATAGGGTTTATAATCCAACTTAGCTATCGAGTGGGGGCCCCACATTGTATCAGGTTGGGGATTTTAGCGTTTTCGAAATGGGTGCTGCAGTTTGTTGGCGAAGTCGGCCCTGGATGTGGTAGGTTAAATGCTGGATTCATGGTACATACTGGTATATATATATACCATCTGGTTATTTAACATAGCCATGGAAAATCACCATTTTTAATGGGAAAATCATTTATAAATGAGCCATTTTCCATGGCTATGTTAAATAACCAGATGGTATATACCACGCGCATCAAAAACTATTTTTTTTTTACCGGACCTATTTTTTAAGGGTCTTTGAAGCTCTTGGCATATATAAATATATACATATGTATACTGACTGTATGTCTAGTGAATGGGGTGAACATAAACCAACAAACAGAACTGGGGGAAACCACCTATTTGTATGGATTAGCAGATCCAAGTATTTGCCCCTACTGAAAGTAGGTCATGAAAGACGCAAAAGACCGATGTAGTCTACCTTTAACCACAACGTGGTAACATTAGGTAGTAACCATTAATAAATCCAAATAGACACTAAAACCAAAGTCGTAATTTTGATTTGTTTTTTCCTCAACACCAGAAACCACATGGACCTTTGTTTCACTTGCATTTTGTTCGGTCGCCTGGCTGTTTGAGGGTGGCTGTAGCACATCCTAGGGAAACCTTGGTGAAGGGTACTTTGGTATAATTACTTATTGGGATATACACCAACCTACAAAGTGGGGCCCCCTAGATAGCTAAACTTCGTGGGGACACCAGTTATAAGTTGGTTTATAAAGAACCTTAACTATAGTAATAATATTTAATAAGTATCATAAACCATAGTTATTGGAGTTATGTTCACCATCTTAGCTATCGACCGGGGGCCCCACTTTGTACAAAATGTTCAATTTCTACAGGGTAAGTGACTGATATCCCCATTGTATGATTACTTATATCCCATTCTATCCCCATGATATCGCATCGAATCACCATTTCTCAATATTTCCCACATGCTTGATTTATGGTATATTTACCTACATGTGGCGAATTGTAGAGGTAAATAGTTAAATACTTTTATTAAAGAGTTGTAAATAGAATGCCAGCACCGAACATATATGCTGGTTGGTGGTTTGGAACAGTTTTTATTTATCCATATATATATATGGGAGATTACTCCCAACTGACAAATATTTTTCAGAGGGGTTGAAACCACCAACCAGATAGGAAATGGTTGGAAAATATGGGAAGATGTTGCATGCCGACACCTATTCGCAGCAAGGTACAACAATCCGAACAGATCCAAGCGCGTCTTTTCTGAGATGCTCAGAGGAATCAGAGCTGGCCGTGCATCTGGTTTTGGCGTCAAGTTTGGATCAAAACCCCTTGAATTTACAAGATGTCAAGATGACTGGGGGAATAAACATCCATGAAGCAGTATTTTTCAGGATAGGGTGCCAGGGTTTGGACTCTTCTACTTAGATGAGCCATGGAGTTAGTTAACTAGTTAGTAAATGGATTATAATTGAGATATAAAGGGTTATATCCCCAGTTACTAACCAGGAATCGCGTTTTTCCCATGGCCCATCTAAGTAGTTTTTTCCCTAGCTAGGGTCCCCACATCGGGCGTGGAATCTCGCAGGACCTTTGGATCTGAATTGGGGTATCTATGGCCCGGGAGGAACGTTGCCCAGTAACAAGTGCCTTGGCAGATTTTCAGTGTCGTTGACCGCGGGGATGTCTTTTGAAAGGCTGCAAATGCGGGGCCCTCAAGATAGCTATGTTGGGTTATGGAGGATTTAACTATATTTGGTGATTTAATGGGACTCGGACTCAATGGAGTTTATACTTAGCTAAGTTTAGTTCGCTACAATAACTTTCTGGTTTATATGTGATTTCGAACTAGTTAGATGGGATTATAAACCAAAAAAACATCACTGGGGGCTCCCATTACGTTGGTGTTCATGTGTTCTTTAAACGTGATTCTTTTCATTGTTGATGCAAAGAAATACAAAGTAATTTTCATAAATCATGTTTGTGTGTTTGGCATTCTTGGAGGGTTGTCTGTTTCTTGTTCAGTATGAACTTAGGGTTTTAGGGGAGGATCCGAGGTTGGCGTTAGGTTCAGATGCAACATGATGCAACAAAGTGGGACTCGTTTCATTGGTTCCTCGCCCAAATACATCTTTTTGTATAGGTGCGTGATATGATACATAGTAGATACATGCATATCCTGGATTTGTTTAAGGTGATTTTTTATTTTCCCAATGGAAAATCCACCATTTGGGGAATCTATAGTGTTTTTTTTTATTTTTTGGGGACCCGTTAAGCAAATCCAAGATATGTATATACCAATGCACAGCTATTGTCAGTGTACATCAATACCCATGGTATTATGAGTTTTTCTCTTGGGGTGCCCCTTACATCATGCATGGTTCAAAATGAAAGAGTTACAGTACCAAGAGCTTGGATGATACCCTCTGGTAAACTAACATAGCTATTGAAAATGGCCATTTATAGTGAGTTTTCCCATTAAAAAATGGTGATTTTCCATAGTTATGTTAGTTTACCAGAGGGTAAATTGGGGATCCCCCTATCAATTGACGGAACCACAATCTGCAGCAAGGTATTCTCTGCAGATCATTGGTTGGCTGCGAGTTCCATTCAGTGGCAGGCTGGGTCGGGATGAGATATACCATCCTGAGTAATGAAATTTAGCTCCCAAAAACTTGAAACTTAGTTTATACTTCTTGTGAGTTTTCTAGATATACCATGGTATTTTTGATGTTCAATTCAGATTTTCTAGCAATACAACAAAAACTCGATAATCCCAATGGTTAATGGTGATATAATGGGATAATACAACCAAGTTAAATCAGCAGAACTTAGTGTGTAGGTCCCATGAATTCACCATGTGTTCAAATGACATGCTTCATTAAATCCCATGAAATCACGGTAAACTCATGTTAAATCTCATTAAATCCGATTAAATTCCATTAAATATCATTATATAAATCACCATTAAATCCTATTAAATCACCATTAAATCCCAGGAAATCTCGATAAATCCCATGAAATCCATGTTTAAATTGCCCATGAAATACCTCCCGAAATCCCCCAAGAGCACCTTCCAGGTATACCTTTGAACTCAACTCCGACACTGGCGGCCGAGTCTTTCTGAACGGCACGGAGGTTTCACCGAGCACCGCCAACAGTGGCATGGCTGGCGCTGGTGACACGGTTGGGTTTTTTGTGGTGGCCTAAGACATGAAAAAAGGGCGAAATAAATAACTCCAATGTCACTATGGTTTATGGTACTTATAACTATAATACTACTGTATCCATGGGGTTTATAAACCAACTAGCATCACTGGGGGGGCCCACATTATAAAAAACATGTATAAATTGGGAAATGGGGGAGAATATATACAGACTGGAGAAACAGCATGTATAAATATAGATATAGCTTATGCTTGTTGGTTTACATCTGTCTATATCTACATGAGATTGATAATGGATTGTTGTAGCTTAGTTGGGCCAAAAAAAGCATTTATGGTGGAGATTCATTGATAGTTCGCCTAGGTGGCTAACGTACCTTGGGCGGAGCCTTCCACTTGGAATTCTTGGAGTTTTCATCAATCAGAAATGTTCATTGTCCGTGACGGTAAGCTTGTCTACAATGTTCGTCGCCCAGTGGCTAGTTAAGTTGGTTTAGTTCACTATAAGAACTAGGGTTTGTAGCGGATCTATCATGATATATCTATAATAGCTATATGGAATTATAAACCAACACATATAACTGGGGGGGGTACCACTTTGCAGGAGTATTTACTGTAGGTACCCGTCAGATAGCGAACAATTAGTAAGTATCAAAGATATGGATCTCATCATTTCTACAGGGGATGGGATTCTGCTGATCGATCAAGTCACCCATTGATGATGTCATCCCCAGAAACGATAAACCCTGAAACAGACAACATATCAATTACTGGTTCATATCCCCTTTGCAACTAGGTATACCAATGGTTACGCCCCACGTTTACGACTATGCTGGATAATCATGGGGTTTTGTAGCATATGAATTGGTTGACGAGTGGGTTATTTCCTGCTTTTTTCCCGAATGTGTAGCAAGTGTTCCCGTTTCACTCTGGGGGTCTGGGGGCTGAGGGTGTGTTCCCTCGACGTTGCGTTTGTGGTCGCAACCGTCCGCAACCGTTCGCAACCGTCCTCAACCGTTCGCAACCGTCCTCAACCGTTCGCAACCGTTCGTGTGAGGACCGTATGGCCGTGCCTATGGTAAGTTCTGCAGGAGGTGTCATTTTTGGAGGTTTCCAACGTTTCGTTGTTTCGTTTCGCGTGGCAGGTGTGGCACTTTGTGACATTCAGACGTGTTCTGTAACGTGTCGAAAGTCGTTTTGTGTGGCAGGCGCAATACTTTTGCGACGTTTTCAGAAGATGCGTGGCAGTTTTCGTGGCAGGCGCAGCACTTTGGACGGGTCCATCGTCATTTTGCGTGGCGGGCGCAGCACTTTAGACGTGTCGTGTTGAGTGTTTTTTGCAAATCGCATTGGCAGGGCTGCGTCAAGTGGCGACAAGGTGCAAATTCCGTGGCAGGCGTGGCATTTTGTGAGATGTACTGAAAATTGACGGAAGCCTCGCACGAAACATCGATTTTGAGGTAGCAAATTTAGAGGTTCCTAAGAAAACTCGTAGGAAAACGTCGATTCTGAGGCTGCAAAGTGTCAAAATTGGAGGAAGTCTCGCGCGAAATGCTCGTTTTGGTGCTCCCACCTGCTGTCTCGTCTCGCGTCATTGGTTTTATGGTGGCTTCGCCGTGTCTATGGGGGAAGCTGCAAAACATGTCCTTTCGGCATGTTTCAAACTGTTAAAACTGGAGGATAAGTCTCGCACGAAATGCTCGTTTTGGTGCGCCCACGTGTCTCGTCTCGAGTCTCTTGTTTTCCTTTGGCCTCGCCGTGTCTATAAAGGAAGCTGCAAAACATGTCCTCTTCGAAGGTTTCCAAGCAGGTTGTCATGTCATTTTGCGTGGCAGGCGTGGCACTTTGTGACATTCCAACCTCTTTGATAATGTGCCGAAAGTGTTTCTGGTTTTCTAGACACGTCGCCGTGTCTATATTGGAAGCTGCAAAACCTCTCCTTTTCGAAAGTTTCCACGCAGGTTGTCATGTCGTTTTGCGTGGCAGGCATGGCACTTTGTGACATTCCAACTTTACACTCTACACTCTACACTTTACACACTCCACACTCCCCCCACTCCACCCTTTACACCCCACACTCCTTACTTTACACTCCACACTCCACACTCCACACTCTAGACTTTCCACTCCACACTCCACACTCTACACTTTACACTCCACACTCCACGCTCTAGACTTTACACTCCACACTCCACACTCTACACTTTCCACTTCACACTCCACACTCTACACTTTACACTCCACACTCCTCACTCCTCACACCACACTTTACACTCCACACTCTACACTTTACACACTCTACACTCCCCACTCCACACTGCAGACTGGTAACAGGTGGTAACAGGGGAAATATGTACAAGACTGTTCAAATGAACTATTGCGGAAAAGTGTTCTGCGTGACTGCATATCCATGTGTTTTGACATCTGTACCATTAACATACGTGTGGGCATTCGGGTTCTTGGGCTGCATCTTGTTTTTTATAGATGCCGTGATGGTGTCTAGTTTTTTTTTATAATAGATGCCGTGATGGTGTCTACAACTTTCTGAGATGCCGTGATGGTGTCTACAACTTTCTGAGATGCCGTGATGGTGATTACAAACTGGAGAATTGCATCCCCAATCTTTACACTCACCAGGAGCTCAAAAAAAAAGGTGGCAGCCTTGGAGGTGGTGGCGAAGCAGCTCCTGAAAGACTACAAGACAAAGGAGTCCGAGGCGGACGCCATGGAGGTGGAAAGAAACGAGACGAGAGAAGAAAACCGAAAGCTGAAACGACGCATCGAGGCCTGGTTGCTACATGGGTTTGGATCAAAATGTTGCTACATGGGTTTGGATCAAAATCAGTTTGAGTAGGCAACCGTCCGTTTTGGGGTTGATCAGTCTGATCCATAGCCAATGTGCGAACTATTGTGTTTAATTTCTCAACCCACACCATCCAACATTGCTGCAGCTGTTTTTCCCGAATGCGTAGCAAGGGTTCCCGTTTCACTCTGGGGGTCTGGGCGCTGAGGGTGTGTTCGCTCGACGTTGCGTTTGTGGTCGCAACCGTCCGCAACCGTCCGCAACCGTTCGCAACCGTTCGTGTGAGGACCGTATGGCCGTGCCTATAGGTGTCATTTTTGGAGGTTTCCACGTTTCGTTGCTTCGTTTCGCGTGGCAGCTGTGGCACTTTGTGACAAGTCTCGCGCGAAATGCTCGTTTTGGTGCTCCCACCTGTTGTCTCGTCTCGCGTCATTGGTTTTACGGTGGCTTCGCCGTGTCTATGGGAGAAGCTGCAAAATCCTTTCGGCATGTTTCAAACTGTTAAAACTGGAGGAAGTCTCGCACGAAATGCGCGTTTTGGTGCGCCCACGTGTCTCGTCTCGAGTCTCTTGTTTTCCTTTGGCCTCGCCGTGTCTATAAAGGAAGCTGCAAAACATGTCCTTTTCGAAGGTTTCCAAGCAGGTTGTCATGTCGTTTTGCGTGGCAGGCGTGGCACTTTGTGACATTCCAACCTCTTTGATAACGTGCCGAAAGTGTTTCTGGTTTTCTAGACACGTCGCCGTGTCTATAGGGGAAGCTGCAAAACCTCTCCTTTTCGAAAGTTTCCACACAGGTTGTCATGTCGTTTTGCGTGGCAGGCATGGCACTTTGTGACATTCCAACTTTACACTCTACACTTTACACTCCACACTCTACACTTTACACTTTACACTCCTCACTCCTCTACACTCTACATTCTACACTCTACACAAACCACACTCCTCACTCCACACTTTACACTTTACACTCCACACTCCTTACTTTACACTCCGCACTCCACACTCCACACTTTACACACTCCACACTCCCCCCACTCCACCCTTTACACCCCACACTCCTTACTTTACACTCCACACTCCACACTCCACACTCTACACTTTACACTCCACACTCCACACTCTACACTGTACACTCCACACTCCACGCTCTAGACTTTACACTCCACACTCCACACACTACACTTTACACTCCACACTCTACACTTCACACTCTACACTTTACACTCTACACTTCGCACTCCACTCTACACTTTGCACACTCCGCACTTCACATTTTACACTTCACATTTTGCACTCCACACTCCACATTCTACACTTTACACACTCCACACTCCCCCCACTCCACCCTTTACACCCCACACTCAATACTTTACACTCCACACTCCACACTCCACACTCTACACTTCACACACTCCACACTCCCCCCACTCCTTACTTTACACTCCACACACCACACTCTAGACTTTCCACTCCACACTCTAGACTTTACACTCCACACTCCACGCTCTAGACTTTACACTCCACACTCCACACACTACACTTTACACTCCACACTCTACACTTCACACTCTACACTTTACACTCTACACTTCGCACTCCACTCTACACTTTGCACACTCCGCACTTCACATTTTACACTTCGCATTTTGCACTCCACACTTTACACTTTACACTTTACACTTTACACTCCTCACTCCACACTCGACACTCTACACTTTACACTCCACACTCCACTTTACACTCTACACTTTCCAATCCACACTGCAGACTGGTAACAGGGGAAATATGCACAAGACTGTTCAAATAAACGTTTGCAGAAAAGTGTTCTGCGTGACTGCATATCCAAGTGTTTCGACAGCTGTACCATTAACATATTAACATACGTGTGAGCATTCGGGTTCGTGGGCTGCATCTTGCTGATCAGCCGTAAACATGAGTTTCATCTGGTGATCAAATATGGCTAGCTGGAAAACTACTCATTTTTCAGGATTCCTCTACTAGCTCTAAAGCTCCATTTCTGGGATTTCCAGTTGCCATGTTTGATGAGTAGATTACCCTCTGGACCCTCTGGTAAACATACCAGAAAAAACAGATTGGAAAATCACCATGCTATCAATGGGTAAATCCACTATCTCAATGGCCATGGCTTCAATAGCTATCATAAATCAGCTATAAATCCCATGAAATCCCCATTTTCCTATGGATAAATCCACTATTTCGACTGGGTCATGGCTTCAAGTTCGCAAACTGTAAGGGATCCACATAGATCCCATGAAATTCAAAAAAAAATCACCATGAAAAATCACCTTCTGAAATGGTCAGGTAAATCTCATTACCCTCTGGTAAAACTATGGAAAATCACCATAGAAATAGTGGATTTTCCCATGAAAAATGGTGATTTTCCATTAGTTTACCAGAGGGTAAATCGTGCTACAAACTGTAAGAAATTACCAGAGAGTACACGAAATCCCTATGATTGGTGAAATCCTCAATATCCACGATCACTACGCACTTCCGGTTAGTTCAAGCGTGATGGTGCCCCCGTCTACGATAGCGTTCAGTTGGGGGCCACATAACTCCAAGAATTCACTATGGTTTATAGATGTTTATAGGTGATATATCGAACTAGTGAATGGACTTAGAACTAATGTATAACTGGGGGGGCACCACCTTGTACTTTGCATCCCGTTAGTCAATGGGTAAACAAACTGACGATCGCCACCCCAAAGCCGACCCAGGTGTTGAGCGTGGGGGCAGCGTGCTGAGTATGGAAGCCGATTTAGAGCAAGGCTTTCGGCTGGGGGGAAAGCAACATATTATAGGCTGATCTGGGAGTGTAACATACAAGGTGGTGCTCCCCAGTTATAAGTTGGTTTATAAACACCAGTAACTCTAGTTATAAGTATCATAAACCATAGTTATTGGAGTTATGTTCCCCAACTTCGCCAACTTCGCTATCTTGGGGGCACCACCTTGTAATAATGTTGTGCCTTAAGTTGCTTGTGTTGTGTTCATGGTTGGACTATGATCCCCATAACTAAAGTCGTGGGGCCGTTTACGATAGCGTTCAGTTGGGGGTTATAACTCCAATAAGTATGGTATATGGATGTTTATAGGTGATATATCGATAGTTAATGGACTTACAACTAATTTATAGGTGGTATATCTATAGTTGCTGGTGTTTATAAACCAACCTATAACTGGGGTCCCCACATTGTACAATGATTGAATGTCCTCTTCAGATGTGTTTAAATGAGGAGCCAGACATGTTGCAACCCAGCGACAGGTGTTTTACCCAGACTGCACCATTTGCAATGCATAAAATGGTGACCTGGGTAGAGATCATTTGAACAGATATCTAACAACATTCAAGATACAAAGTGATGAAGGTACTTAATTGATATCGTCAGATCAAAACATTTGTAGATATCGACGCTAATGTGAATGTGTGATGATGATGTGTGTGTGTCACCCTTTGAAAACCTGGCAGTTTTTGGCAGCAACCATCCGAATGTTTGGCAGCAACCATCCCATATGTATCGAATTATATACCTATATATATATATATATATAGCTGTGAGTTTTGTAACTTGCTGCTGCCGCATACACCTTCGATTGTTTCCTGTCAGGGGAAAGCACATTCATCATGTGCCTTTTGACTCGTGGCTCAAGGCCAATTTCAGCGAGATAGGGGAAAAATCTCGAGTGCCGCCATAGGATTGGTTGGAAGGTGAAGAGTGGACTCTTTTGGGATTTGGTTGGATAGATATACATTTTTGGTGTTGTGGACAACACTGTTGGAACGACTTTACTTTGGTTGAACATCAACTACTTTCTGGTGATCAAGGAGGACCTTGAACCATTCAGGTGGGAACCGTTATCAGTGGCGTTGCGATCTACGATCCAACGACACTGGTAGCGGAGCCTAGAGGCTCGTGCTACTTGCACGCAAAGCCGGCCCGCTAGTTTTGTGGCTTCTGGATAGTGAGCAATGCCTCCTAAAGAGTCTGCCTCAACTGATGGGAACGGTGACTCCCAGCAGGGTTCCAATTTTTGGAATTTGCTGCCCAGTTTTGACCCGAGTGAAGATGACATACGAGAGTTTTCACAGAAAGCCAGGTTCATCCACGGTGTCATGCCCGAGAAGGACAAGCCCAACTTAGCTCCCAGGTTAGCTATGTTGTGTAAAGGGACAGCTTGGTCCCAGGTGCGTCAGTTAGATCCGAAGAAGCTCACCAAGGCCGACTCAGGTGTTGAATACTTGTTGGCCGCTTTGTCAGCTTGGGAAGAAACATCAGAGATGAAAACGTATGAACTGTTTGAACGAGCACTCTACAAGGTAGTACAGAAGTTTGATGAGGCCTCCCATAGTTTCTCACTTCGCCTTCAAGCTGCATTCAATGAGATAGGTGATGATGTCACTGTCAAACAAATGCAAGACTTCGTGATGTTGAGACAGTCAGGTTTGTCGTCCGAAGACAAAAAGAAAATCCTGACGATGACAGGTGGTAAGCTGGATCTGACCGCAGTTGACCAAGCCATGAGGTCGTTGTCCACACGTGTGTTGATGGGCCCTGGTGAAGCCAAGAAAAAGATTTACCCGATCAATTTCTCAGAGGTGGAAGAGCCACCTGCCCAATCCGATGAAAGCCTTCCGGTTCAAAGCACTTACGTTGCATACCATGAGGAAGAGGATGTTTTGACAACCGAGCATCTGGAATACCTAGTGTCTCAGGGAGATGAGGATGCCAACGTAGTGCAACAGTTTGAGCGTGATTTCGAAGAGATGCTGCAAGAGATTCCTGACATGCAACAATCAATGGTCTCATACAATGAGGCTAGGCAGAGGATCAATGATCGCCGTCGCAGCCGAGGGTTTTGGCCCACTGGAAAAGGAAAAGGGCAAGGTGGGTTCAAAGATGGCTCCCGGCCATACCGCAAAGGTGTTGGAAAGTCTGGAAAAGAAGAGTTGTTGGCTCGCATTGCAAAAACGCATTGCAAGCTTTGCGGCGCCCTTGGTCATTGGCGCGCAGAATGCCCTCAGAGGAAAGAAGCCCGTGAAACTGCCAACGTTGCCTTCTCCATGCCTTCCGAAGCATCCGATGCCGAAGAGGAGACCAGCCATGCAGTGGTCTTTGAAGAGTTCAGTGAACAGGAGTGCACCCGTTGTGAAACATGTTTCGTTGCCTCATGCTACCGAAAACCAGTTTTCTGCGAGCAAAATGTTGAAGACGTGAAAGCCTTTTGGGGTAAGAAACTGAATAAGCCGGGGTATAAGCGGGGTAATAAAGGGGTAATTGGGGATAAAGGGGGAACCAAAAACAGTGGTCCAGAAAACAGCCTGAAACCAGCAGTGGTGACCTCAGCACCCAACACCCGTGCCGCCAGGAAGATGCATCCGAGACCAACCAATAGAGCCGATGGTTTTGTCAGCCAGAATCACTCAGATGCCATGCAAAGTCAAGGAATGGCCATACTGGACACAGGTGCCAGTCGCAGTGTGATCGGACAAGACCATGTCCCCGCGATGCTCCAAAAACTGCCAGCCAGTGTCCGTGACCAAGTCGTGGAGAAACCCAGCAGAGTAGGTTTCCGTTTTGGAAATAACCAAGTTGCATATAGCTACAAGCAGTTACGCATACCATTGGTCCACAAGGGAATCCGAATTTGGTTGCTAATTGAAGTAGTGCCGAAAGCCACACCTTTCCTGCTGTCAATTAAGACCATGAAGAGCTTAGGAGCTATGATAGACCTAGGGCAAAACACATGTTTTCTCAAGACACTGCAAAGGTCACTGTATTTGAAAGAAAACAAGAATGGGTTGTTCATGATTGACATGTCCGATCTTTGTCAACCTGATGTCAAGTCCAATGCAGCAGCTTTTGTCGCATCAAGTGTCTGTGCCCCGCCTCCAGGTCTGGAAAGTGAAATTCCTGCCAGTCATGCCGACCCGTCAGGAAGTGCTCGATGCTCTTCGCACAGTGGCAGAGGAAGTGTTAGCCAGTCTGAAGCTCCTGATGACCATCGTGTTCACCATGACCAGTGCGATCGATCCGAACCAAGAAGCCACGGAGCTCCAGATGAACCCTGTGAATCAGTTGATTCACGAAGTGGCCCAGCAACGTCGGACGATCGACCAGTTGGGGAATCTCATTCAAGCTCAGTTCCAACAGAAGCCACCCACATGTCCAGGACCTATAGTGAGCCCGGTGAACCATGTTCCAGGATCAGAAGATTTCGAATGGGAAGCCGAGATGGTGCCGTCACAAGGCCAAGCTGCATCAACGGTGCCAAATTCTTCCCAATCGATGCCTGCTGTGATGATGAATGTCAGAGCTCCCAACAATCAGCCTCCTCCAATGCTAGTGAGACAGCCCATGCCGCACGTGTCAATGACACCAAGTGCCCGACCACCAGCTGCAATGATGGGAAGCCCAGGATCGTCTTACGCAGCTTCCGAGATTGGAAGCCAATTGATGGTGACTCAAGCATCCCTCGAAAGCTGGGGAAACAAGATCGTGGGCTATTGGCAAAAAGCACCTGAGGTCTCGTTACACCCATGTGTACGAGTCCGACCCAGGTTACATCAAGTGGATCTTGGCCAGAGCCGACAACCTTTCCGAGGATATGGCGGATTTCGCAAGCTATGCCCGAGCTCGCAATCAACTGGAGCAATTGGCCAACAACCCGGTTCCATGAGAGGCATTTGGGAGGGATTTCAAGATTCTAGGATGTCACATAAATCTAGTTTTAAAGAAAGACAACTGTGGACTGAGATGCAACAGCCAGAATGTGGAAAGAGCTTTCACAAGTCAGAACAGTTGGACATCCTAGAAGTGTATGCGTTCCCTAACAGCATGTTGACCACTGTGGCACAAGAACATGGTTTGCGAGCAAGGAGGTTTACATATGAAGATGGGGATTTATCGACATCTACTGGAAGAAGAGCTTTGTTTCACATCATCAAGACACAGAGACCAAAACATATTTGGCTTGCCCCGGAATGTGGTCCTTGGTGTGCCTGGAACCGCTTTAATTCCATGCAAAGCCTTTCTAGTTATGAACAAGTCATGCACCAACAGCGTCTTGCCAAAGAACACTTGGTATTGTGTAATGTGGTAGCTCAGATTCAGCATGATGAGGGTCGACACACCCATCTCGAAAGCCCCAAAACCTCCGGAGTTTGGAAGCAGCAGGAGATACAGCCGTTTTTGAAGCGTTCCATTCCGGCCCAGCTGGACCAATGTGCTTTTGGCCTGAGACATCCAAGTGAAAATCAGTTGATGAGAAAATCCACTCGCATACAAACCACCTCAGTTGAAATGTTTTCTGTTTTGGACTGCCGTGTTTGCAATCGTGAACATAGTCATAGTACCATAGCAGGAAGATGTCAGTGGAAGGGCCATAGCATTTCCGTGTCCAGGTTTGCTGCTTTCTATCCACGCAAGCTTGCACTGACCATTGTCCGTGGAATCATGCAAACATCCCAAGGCCCCTATGAGGCGCCAATTTGCCATGTAGATGAAATAGAGCCGCCTGCCAAAAGGGCACGTACCAACTCTGGTGAAGCCTCTGCACCACACGACACCACGAACGTGTGGAAACCAATGTTTGAATTTCTACAGAGAAAACTTCCCAAATCAGGTGTTGTCACTTGGGAAGACCCGCAAGATGAAGTCTTCCAGGAAATTCAGAAACTGTTTCCACATGAGAACATTGGTGCAGTCAAAGCAGGAAAAGGCCTAGATCGTCTTTTGTTGGGCGAAGAGGCTTGGAGAGATCAGCTGCCGAAAAGACATAGCATAGTACAGAAAAGATTCACTCATGAAATAATTGACCTAGGACTTGAAGTTTGGAGTGAATTAACTCGGAAAAGAGCTTGTCGAAAAGAGGTGCCAAGCCATATCATGCTGTGTTTGTTTTCCAGAGATGACAGCCGACCTGATACACCTATAATGCCAGCAGCCGATCCCGCCAATAGATCAATTGAGACAAAAGCCGCTGAATCAACAGCCAGTCCACCAGTGCAGGTAGATGTGCCCAGCTGGACTCCTTTAAGTGCCACTGTTTCAGGCCCAAATTTCCTGAAACTTACTCGAGAGCAACAGTCCATGTTGCGCAAGATTCATAATAATCTAGGACACCCCACAGCCGAAAGACTGGCCCGACATCTAAAGGAATCCAAAGCACATGAACACCTGGTGGAAGGTGCTGCCGACTTCGTGTGTCCGTCATGTGCTGAGAGACACCCACCACAAAAGACTACTCCCGGCCAACTCGAAGACCCGAAGGATTTTAATGAAAGAATTCTTTTGGATGGTTTTGACTGGTGTAGTAAAAGGGGTATTCAAATCTATGTGTTCCATATCCTAGATGATGCTACCCGTTTCCATTTAGGTCAAAGGATAACCCGGGATATCCAAGCCTCCATCCGTACAACGAAACAGATGTGGATTCAATGGGCAGGATCCCCACAGGAAATACTACATGATCAAGGTGGAGAGTTTGTATCCCAGCCATGGAAAGATTTTTTGCAAGCCCACAGCATTCAGCCAGTGCTCACTGCCGCTCCATGGCAACGTGGTCGTATCGAGAGGCATGGAGGTGTGATCAAGGAAATGCTTGAAAGAATGGACCATGCACAGAACTTCAACAGTCTAGCTGAAATAGATGAGGCTCTTAACCAGTGTTTCCGAGCGAAAAAATCTATGATAGTGAATAACGGATATAGTCCAGAACAAGCTGTACTAGGTAAGGCCTCTAAACTTCCTGGATCACTACTCTCAGACGAAGAATCAACTGCTCATCACATGTGCCTTTCACCCGACCCAGCATCCGAGCAGTTTAAGCGAAGTCTTGAATTGCGGACAGCCGCAAGAGCAGCTTTCTGGCATGCTGACAATCATGCTGCAATTCGCAGAGCAGCCCTACATAGGTCACGAGGTGTGATACATGAATGGCTGTGCGGACAGTTGTGCATGTTTTGGGATAAACGAAAAGCCCCGAACATATTGGAGAAAGGACGATGGTGTGGTCCAGCACAGGTAGTTTGCCAGGAATCAAGAACAATCATATGGATCACTCACATGAATCGGTTGTTAAGATGTGCCCATGAAAATCTCAGACCAGTTTCCATGCGTGAATTTCAAAGACACTCCACTTTTACAACTTCAAATGCCCAAGAAGAATTGAAACAAATGGCACAACGTTTACAGACACAGTTGAAAGAAAAGAGTGGCATGTTTCAATACTCCGATTTATCTGAGGTGAATCCTCCAACAGAAGAAGAGGCAAACGATGGCAATAGCGAACTTTCGACCTCTCGACAACCAGAGGAAGAACCAATCAGACGCCAACGAGGTGAAATCGAAATTCCTGACGAAACCATGCGCGACCCTGCGGTCGAAACGCCTGTTCCAGACTCCCCGTTTTCTTCCAATAGTGAAGAAAGCCCTGAATCAATGGTTCCAAGCCCGAGCCTGGCACAATCTGCTCCTGACACTGCATCATTGGACACAGATCAGTCGGAAAATGAAACTCCGAGTAACATGGAACCTGTGTATAATGCTGTTATCATCGAGAAGAATACCGAGACGACAGACTGTGTTCATGACGATGGCGCTCTTTGGTCAATGCCCGACCCTTGCGAAGCAGCGTGTGTGTCTTTTGAGTTTGAAATGCCAAAACAACAATTCCATAAGTTCCTCAAATCTCCCAAAGAGCACCTGCCAGAGGTCAATGCCGCAGCCCGCAAGTTTGGGAAAGAACTTGTTTACAGTGACTTGACACCCCAAGAGAGAGAGAGGTTCAAGCAAGCCAAGTTGAAGGAATTGAATTGTTGGTTGGATACTCAAACGGTAAGAACCATAGTTCGGGATAAAATTCACCCCTCCAGAGTTTTAGCCTCTAGATGGATACTGACTTGGAAGGAAGATGAAAATAGCGAAGATGGAAAGAAACCAAAAGCACGACTTGTGGTAAAAGGTTTTCAGGACCCCGACATTGGGGAATTAGCATCCGATAGTCCCACCCTCACCCGAGATGGTAGGATGTTATTACTCCAGAAAGCTGCCAGCCACAAATGGTGTATTGAAAGCTTTGATATCACTACTGCCTTTTTACGAGGGAAATCCGATGATCGTCAACTAGCAATGGAACCCCCAAAGGAGTTGAGAGAACTGCTTGGAATGGAAAAACATCAGATCTGCCTACTAGAAGGAAATGCTTATGGACGGGTAGATGCCCCTTTGTTATTCTATCGCGAATTTCGGAAATGCTTAGAAGAAGTAGGTTTCACCGCACATCCCTTGGACAATTGTTTGTACTTGTTAAGAGACCCCAAAGATCCAAAGATCCTCAATGGGATAGTGGGTACTCATGTGGATGACGGTTTGGGGGCAGGTAACCACAAATTTAGCTATGCCCTACAACAACTTCAGAAAAAGCTTCCTTTCGGCTCACATGAAAAACGCAAATTCCGTTTCACAGGACTTGAAATAGAACAGTTGCCGGATTTTTCTATCAAAGTGAGCCAAGAAAAATATGTCCAAAGAATAACTCCCATAGACATCCCTAAACCCCGTAGAGCAGAAGTTGATAGCCCTATCACTCCACAGGAGTTAAATAAACTAAGGGGGATTTGCGGGAGCCTACAATACGCCGCAGTGCATTCCCGGCCCGATGTGGCCGCAAAAGTTGCGCACCTGCAGAAGGGTATTACCAAGGCGACCGTGCAAACTCTGCTAGATGCAAATCGGGTACTCAAAGAAACCCAAGAGTTTGCCAACACCTCTGTGATCGTACGTCCGATCCCCATGACGGAGCTCTGTTTCGCAAGCTTTGGTGACGCAAGCTTCGCTTCGGCCAAACAGATGTCAGCCCAGCAAGGGATTTTTATCATGGCATGCACACGGAAACTAGCAAACAATGAGACGACAGACTTCTCTCCAGTTGCATGGCATACCAAACAGATTGGTAGGGTGGTTCGTTCTACTTTGAGTGCCGAAGCATACGCTATGTCCAGTTCACTAGATAAGTTAACGTGGATTAGATGCATGTGGGGTTACATAAAGGATCCCTCTTTTGCTTGGCATAAACCTGAAAAGTCTCTTTGTGTAGAACCACCAGGGTTAATGATCACTGATTGTAAATCCTTATATGACTTAGTCACTAAGACTGCAGTGCCAAATTGCCAGGAGTGGCGTACCACCATAGAAGTCATGTTGCTGAAGGAACAATCAGCTAACCATACCCAATGCCGCTGGATCAGCACTGCTATCATGTTGGCAGACTGCCTAACGAAGTCCATGGACTCAACCTTCTTACGCACCGTTTTGCAGTTGGGAAGATTCAGAATCTACGATGAAGAAATGACCCTCAAACAGAACTCGAATCGAAAATATGGTGTCACATGGGTGAAACAATCGAACATAGAAAAGAGACCAGTGTGAGTTTTGTAACTTGCTGCTGCCGCATACACCTTCGATTGTTTCCTGTCAGGGGAAAGCACATTCATCATGTGCCTTTTGACTCGTGGCTCAAGGCCAATTTCAGCGAGATAGGGGAAAAATCTCGAGTGCCGCCATAGGATTGGTTGGAAGGTGAAGAGTGGACTCTTTTGGGATTTGGTTGGATAGATATACATTTTTGGTGTTGTGGACAACACTGTTGGAACGACTTTACTTTGGTTGAACATCAACTACTTTCTGGTGATCAAGGAGGACCTTGAACCATTCAGGTGGGAACCGTTATCAGTGGCGTTGCGATCTACGATCCAACGACATATAGCTTTATATATATATAAAGGTTATATATATACTGTATATATTATATATATATATATATACTGTATATTATTTATATATACAGTATATATTTGGGTACTGAGTTTTGATGGGAAAGACTCAAATGACCAGATGTTGATCCAAACAACCGAGTGACCAGCATATCTGTGGGTTAAACAAGGCCCTGAAACGCTCCACAAGTCCCTGCTTCGGCTTCGCGAGGTTTTGTTCCGATCGAACTGTTGCAGCTTGGTATTGTGAACAGCTCATTGTGAACAGCCCTGAAATGAGCCACTTTTTTCAGGTCCTTCACCAGTTGTAAATGGTTATAAATGGCTTTAAACAATTGGGGTTATCATAGCTATTGAACATCACCATTTTTAATGGGTAATTCAACCATTTCTATGGGCCATTTTCTATGTCGCAAACTGTTAGTTTACCAGAGGGTAGGGATTATAGTTATCAATGACAACCCCGGATGAGACTAAACCATGGTTTTTTATTTGGGGGGGTAACCTTCCAATAGTCATTTCATATGATACTTTTTTATGGTACCCTCCCAATTAAACAATCGTAAACGGGGTTTATTAATCCAGGGTTGACATTATCATCCAATAGGGGAATCCCGAGGAATGAACCAAGCAGGGCCCGTCTCATGGTTCATGACGGGATTTATTGAAGAAAACTCAGCCATGAGCCATGAAGAAAATTCCCAAATGTTGATTGGTGATGATTTTCAGAAGTTATACTGTCAAAAACTACCGGTTATTGGATGCTATTGGGGATTATGAACGAAAACCCATTTTAGGGAAGTTTATCAACCAACTATGATAAAATGGGACAACGGGGTATGGCTCGAATGGCTCGAATGTATTCCATGGATGTTGCCGCTGTGATTGGGGCGAGCACATTCTTCCAATAACAAATAATAACAAGGCAACCGGTTGACTCGGCGCCCTTGTAAGGGTGACGAATTTGAAATTGTCATTTTTGAGGGTAAGAGAGAAAATGCTGGTATTTGCAGGAGTCGTCAAAAAATGTGTACAACATGGACATTCATTTCGATTGGCAGGCGTGTGACTCAAGGGTGAAAATTTGAATTTCGCCTGCGCGGTGACTCGATTTTTCTCTTCAAGGGTGAAAAAAAAACATTAGAATTTTATGATTTTAAGTCATCCAAATCACATCAATCAAGGCGGTATTCAATCCTCTTTTTTTTCCACTGTTCGAGGTTAGCGGTGCCAGAGTGCTTGTGGCAGTGCTGATGCTACAGTCTGTAACAAGGCAGCGTTGTGACGCCAAGTCCAGCTGTAAGCATAACTGTACCGTTTTTGGTACACCTGTTGTTTCTTTTGTGGAGCATGGATTGAGGTCGCCATTTTTTTAAGTGTTTCCAAGTTCCATCAAGTTGTTGAGTTCCAGCAATAATGGTTCTAGAGGAAATCCAACCACGACCAACATAGGTTCACGCAGGAAATCCGCAAAAAGCGCGTCAGACAATGCAAGATGTCAGCAACGACAACCTCTTCTGTAACGTAAAGGAAGTGCTCGATACGAACGTTAACATCCCCCCCCACCCCCCCTGACGATCATACGACAACAAATGCAACATGTGCCTCTTCCGTACCGTGAGGGAAGCGCTCGACACGAACGTTAACATCCCCCCCCACCCCCCCTGACGATCATACGACAACATATGCAACCTGTGCCTCTTCCATGTGCAACACGTTAAAAAATCGAAAATTTCAAATCCTATACCCCCATTTCGGAAAACCTCATTTTTGAAATTTGCAACCCTTCCACGGGACACATCTCAAAATCGACAACCCTTCCAAGGGCGCCGTATCAGCCGCATGCCAATAACAACCCAGTTCGTTAAATATAGTTAAATCACAATTTGTGCTGCTGAATTCCCCATTTTCGCACAAACCCAATTTGTCAGTATTTGTCAATCATTTAGCTTAACAGTTCGTGTAAGTCCATTGTACAATGTGGTGCCCCGAAGATAGCTAAGTTGGTTTATAACTCTAATAAGTAGGACTTGTGGTAGATATCTCTACAGTTAATGGGTTTATAAATCAACTTATAACTAGGGGGTACCACCTTGTAGCTGACTCCCCAAACCAAAACCTATGTGATGAACTGGCCGACTGCACAGATGGCCAATGTGCAGAGAAATATCTGGCACCCGAATGCACAACTCAGGAGCGCAACGTCAGGAGAAAGGGATCCGTTCTGTGCCACACATGTCATTTCATGACTGGTTGGTGGTTTGGAACATGTTTAATTTGTCCATATATTGGGAATTTCATCACCCCAACTGACTGACTTTCATATTTTTCAGAGGGTTGAAACCACCAACCAGATGATTTGCTTGACTGCTTCCCCATCATCTCCTGCATCATGGTGAGCCATCCGAAAAATCCATTGAAATCTCCGGAAAAATCACAATTTTGGCCGCTTAAATCATCGATGACTCCGTGATCCTCCATGTTCCAATGTGTTCCTCAGATTTTCCTATATGTTCCACCATTTTCCCATATTTTCCCATACTTTCCACCATTTCCCCATATGTTCCTTATATTTCTTCCATTTTCTCATATGTTTTTCAGATGTTCCCATATGTTCCTCAGATTTTCCTATATGTTCCACCATTTTCCCATATTTTCCATCATTTCCCCATACTTCCCACCATATGTTCCACCATTTTCCCATATTTTCCCATACTTTCCACCATTTTCCCACTGTCTTTCATGGCTTTTCCATTGGGTCAACCGCCACGTTTTCACCCCAAGGTACGACCACTGGATGGGCGAAACCACGCGGAACCTGGCGGCGTTTTTGCGGCTGGGCTTTGGCTCCAGCACGGTGCCGTTCCGAGTGCTGCAGGCGGAGGACATGTTCTACGAGGAGATGTGCCTTGACGCAGCGAGCAGCTCTCTGTTTTTAGAAACATGCTCTAGAGGAATATATCATATATTAATGATCCATCATTTTTCAGAGGGGTAGGTATACCACCAACCAGTCATAGTCTATTAATGATAGGGAATATGGGGAATAGGTATCTAATCTATAATGATATCATATAGCATTATATAATCATATATTAATGATAGGGAATATAGGGTAAGGGGATGATGAGGTATTTAATCTTTTTTGATTTAAGGAGACAGTGCCTTGGAGGAATAGAGTTGATGGAACATAATTTAGATGGAATTTATGGAGATGGTACCGTAATGTGAGCAGCGAACTGTTGTAGAACGTGGTCATTCAAGATGTCTAGAGGAATATATTATAGGGGAGATAATGCATAGTGGAATAATTATAGGGGATGATGGTATCTAATCTATAGCGATTTAGGCACATGTGCCTTACACGATGATGGTGAGCAGTTAGTGGTTGATCCATAGGAATATATTAGCCTATCATAGGGGATGTCAAGGTATCTAATCTGATCTATACAAAGTGGGCCCCCAAAACGATAGCTAAGTTGGTGTGTAAGTCCAATAACTATGTTTTATGAGTTTAATGGCACTTATAACTATACTTGTTGGTATTTATAAACCAACTTTTACCATAGGGGATATAGATGGGAAAGTGATGTGATGGATGAACCATTCACCAATAGGGATTTGATCGAAATATTGGGAATATTGAAAGGGTATGCAACTGACCAATCATACAATCGGGATAGAAGTGGATGTAACTGATAAATGACGGTGAGCAGCCAACTATTAGAAAGTGGTCTAGAGGAATATATTAGTCTATTAGTCTATTAATGAACCATTCATGATAAGGATAGTTTGGGGGATGATAAGATATCTAATATAATATGCAGCGATTCAATGAACCCTCTGGTAATTTGTTACATAGCTATTGAAACTGGCCATGGAAATAGTTGATTTACCGTGTAAAAAATGTGCTTTTCCATAGTTTTGTTAGTTTACCAGAGGGTAACGGTCGTCCGCGTTATAACCCAACTTAGCCACTGCAGTGGCTACGTTGAGTTCCAGCGCGGAAGACTTCCCCAAGACTAACGATGCACGGCCGCTGCAGTTCAGTTGCTAGCCTGCTAAGTTTAATAACCAAATAAAACCGATAAACATCCAATAAAAAAAATACTACAGTTATGGCCATTTATCAGTTATAACTGGTTATTTCAGTGGGATTATACATTCTATAAATGGGGTTTTGTTGGTACTTATAACTAATAAATGGCCATAACTACTAGTAGTAGTAATTACACATTGAATTGGAGATGATGACAGTGAGCTGTTCGCCGAAAGTGGTTCAAGGTCGGAAAAATGAAGGGTTGAACCAAGGACAAAATGGATTGATTGAATTTTATCTGGGTAAATTATAACGAGCTCACTACGACCTCACTGGAAATCATGGTTAGTAAGGGGAATCATCCCCAAATGGCCTTAATTCAGATTAGTGAATTATTATAATTTGCCCAGATATAATGAGAGACTATGGGATATGATGATTTATTGGAAAGTGTTGTTTTCTTTTTCAATGGGATAAGTGACTAGTAAATGAGATTCACCATTGGCACTATGGTTGATTAACAATTCGCTCTGTTGATCAATAATTGATTTGTTGATTGACCATGCACATTTTTGGGATTTCATGGGAATCTTTAAAGAGATATGATATATGGTAGAACCGACCAATCACCATATCTGGGTAAATTATAGCGACCTCACAGCTCTCCCTCACTGGAATCAAGGTTAATAAGGGGAATCATCCCAAAACGGCCTTAATTCAGGTTCGTGAATTATTATAATTTTTCCAGATATATCATTCACAATAGGGATTTCATGGGAATCTTTAAAGAGATATGACGTATGGTAGAACCAACCAATCACCATATCTGGGTAAATTATAGCGACCTCACAGCTCTCCCTCACTGGAATCAAGGTTAATAAGGGGAATCATCCCAAAACGGCCTTAATTCAGGTTCGTGAATTATTATAATTTTTCCAGATATATCATTCACAATAGGGATTTCATGGGAATCTTTAAAGAGATATGACGTATGGTAGAACCAACCAATCACCATATCTGGGTAAATTATAGCGACCTCACAGCTCTCCCTCACTGGAATCAAGGTTAATAAGGGGAATCATCCCAAAACGGCCTTAATTCAGGTTCGTGAATTATTATAATTTTTCCAGATATATCATTCACAATAGGGATTTCATGGGAATCTTTAAAGAGATATGACGTATGGTAGAACCAACCAATCATCATATATGTGATGGAATAAAGATTTTAACGATCAACATATGGGGATATATATGTGGATATATTCGACCGTTTTATGCTTGGTTGATGATTGGTTTGGGCATTACATTAACCCATATATTGTAGAATATCGCCATGAAATCCATTGTGATTTAAGATGATGACCTGCTTCTGGGCAAGTAACAACCTTTTGGTAACCGGTAACCCAGATATAAAATGCTATGAACTGATATTATTCGTATATTATATATATATATATATCTAGGCTATGGTGCTGATGCCCACCCCTTCTTGTGGGATTCCGTGTTGGCTCAGGTTGCAGCAACCCTACAACCCCTTTGTTCACATGGTGGATCCGGCTGTGCCTGTTGCTCAGCCGCAAGACTGAAAGAATATAACAACTTTTGATGGTGCATTTAGGCACCTAGAATGGAGATACTCTACAATGTGGGGCTCCCAAACGTGATGTGAACGTTGGTTTATAAACCTCATGAATACTATAGTTATAAGTACCATAAACCATAGTTATTGGAGTTACAAACCAACTTAGCTATCGTAGAATGGAGATACCCTATCATACAAGAGTACACAAGCCGATTATCCAATTCGCGAGCTAATTATCTAATTAAGTTTGTTTTTGAGTAGGTTAAAGGTCACCGACAGTTCATGGTAGATTTATTTGTAGTTACTGTGTTTGCAAAACAACGTATATTTGGCAGGGTGGGCTTCTGGTATTTGGCGCAACTGGGGGAGACTTCAACGTTTTCAAAATTTGAAACAACTCCTGGGTCTGTTTGAAAATTGTGTAATGTGGTTTAAACAATGCCATAAACTACACATGACTGGGAATGGTTTATACCACCTATCTATGGTGATTTGGGGGATGGTTTATTATTGTTTTAACCACATTATCCAAAAAATCCAGGCTTTATCATATGTGTCCTAATTCAACCTAGTTTGTCTGGATGTCCACCGTTTTCAGACAAACCTAAAGAAATGTTTGTGGAATAGTGTAGCTGAGGTACTCCAGTTTATGTCCTCTCCTCTTCAGCCCTGAAATCGCGAAACCTATGTGAGACCGCAGATTCTCAACAAGCTGAAAGTCCATATTCTTTTGTTGGTAGGTGAGCGGTGTTCAAAAACCCTGTTGACTGATGATTGTAAGGGTGTTATACTATCCACTATTCTTGGGATTGGGGCTATCATCGTTCATGAACTTGAATTCCTATTGGACAACCAGTGCCACTCCCATTCTGGTTGGTGGCTTGGAACAGTTTTTTTTTTCCATATATTGGGAATAATCATCCCAACTGACTTTCATATTTTTCAGAGGGGTTGAAACCACCAACCAGTGATGGTGAAGATCATCGAATGCAAAATCTCCTCGTTGCTGGTTGTTTTTTTCGTTCAGGGATAACGGGGGGTATGGATCAAGAATTATGTTGACCTGGAAAAACAGAGGTTTTTAGTATGATCATAGTATACCGCAGATTGGATGGTTTTTGCAGGTCAACATCAATGATTGTTCATACTATAAATCCAATGTTTGCAGATGACTAAATGTGTTTCTATTGATGTTGACCTACAAATATGTATCACAGATTTATTACTTGATTATACTTAGATGAAGACTATATATATATATGGATATAGTATGAACCATCCAGTTCTTAGGCTACCCAATTTGACCCACAGCAACTAGCGTTGGACTTTATCTTTATGACTTTATGGTCCTGCATGTCTAGCGCCCTGTAGCTGGCTGGTAAGCCAACAGTCCATGGATTGCTCCTACCTGGTCGCGGCCCTAAGTGGTTCTATAGTAGTTGAAGTAAATGTTCATGATTCATTAATTTATTCAACTAAAGCTATAGAAGGTAGCCATGCTGTAAAGCTAGCTTTCTAAGGTTGCATGTGTATGATGTACTAGCTAACTTAATTTATTAAGGTATGATGTGTAAAGCATTCTAAAGCTAGCTTTGATTCCTTTGCCACGGATGCTGTAGCCACAAGAGCTGGAGTCTAACCCATTGAGATATCCAGGATTCGCCCATTATACCCCCTGATATCCCCATTAAATCAAATTACCCTTTGGTAATTTATTTTCCATAGTTATTTCCATAGTTATGTTAGTTTACCAGAGGGTAAGTCACCATTTTCGATTGTTCAATACCGCTCACTTACTGTAACCACTGTAACCATTCACCACCCTTCAGGGTTCTATTCCAACTATAGTTGCAACTGGCTGTAAAAAACATCGTTTAAGTGTTGATTTATAGTTGCAGGAGTTACAATCCCAACTGTTAAGAGCCACAATGCGGCGTGCACGTTTGCCCCTGTGAGTACACCGAGGTGCACAGCCTGCAAGTTGTGGGCGGCTTGAGAAACAACTCCCTTCATGGAGTGGTTGGACAGGACGGTTGTGGTTGGTGAAAGAATGGGTTGTGGTTGGCCAGTAATTGGGTGGGGGTCCAGAAATGGGGATACCCCAATAGCTGGATCTGGTTGGTGGTTTCAAACATTGCTTTTATTTTGCATTTCATATAAGGGATGATTCTTCCCATTGACTTTCACTCCATCATTTTTCAAGATGGTGATTGCTTGCACCACCAAGCAGTCATTATTAACCTTTTTTCCTTTCCTCGTACTGCAATGTCTTGCTTGGATCATGCATGTCAAGTGACTTCAAATGTAGCAGTCAGGCTGCACAATTGATTCTGCCACGAAGTCAAATGACAACAATTTTTCCAAATCAGATGAGAGGGGCTCAACCCGCTCTCTCAATTCTGCGTATGCTTGCACAGACTGATATGCGGCCTTAGCGATTGCCGAATTGAGCTTCTCAGGATAGACCTTCGCGATCGCGGTATTAAAACCGCCATTGGCGTCCTTTCCCTTCAGCACTTTGTGGGCTCCAGGTGGATGGTCACATCTTCCAGCCCTGCCCAAATTGGCAATCTCTTTCCAAAGGCTTGGCATTCGAATGATCAGGAAAGTCGTTGGTTTCCTCGCCATGCAACCAAAGAGGCATTGGTCAAAGGTGACTATCTGGGAGCACTGCAGTCTCTTAAGCCACCGCACCACTCTGCTGCTCCAAATAGAACATGGCCTCTTCGACGCAATCCAGACAGGGAAAGCAGGATGTTCCAGAAACGCCATTCCCCCTGATCGTGCCAATGCGCAAATCATTGTGAGCATGAACCGCATCAAAATTGAGCCCACCCGAGTCTGTCTCCATGATCTCATTGAATTGTGTGGTAGTCCATGGGGCCATTCATGTGATCTCAATGGGGGGGGGCCCTCCTCCATATGTCTTGCGGCCGTGAAGGTTTCGCACGGGGGGCCCCCCCCCGCACCGCATACGGCACCAGAATAGATGCGCTCTAACCAGAACTGCTTACTGGTCTCCAAGGTAAGATCTCCCCCATCTTTCTGAATACAGAAATCCACCGAAACACAAAAGATTTGGGTATTTTCATGATCCCACCTCGCCTCGATTTGATGTTGAATGTCCCCTCGCCTTCTGTGTCCGCTGAAGAAATGAATGAAACAAAGAGTTCTGATGTGCAGAGCCGCATACAACCTTGCCAGTCCATGCATGGAGTAACGTCCTGCTGCTCCCTCAATGCTTCCTCCAGCTGATACCACGACGAAGGGGATCACCTCATTCTCCTCAGTGATCTGAGTTGTCGGTTCATCCACGGTCTCAACGCAGAAGCCTTCCAACGCATCAAACATTGGATGGCTGTCCGGTGGTCGCCGCGCGGTCCACCGCTGCAGCATAATCCTGGAGTCTGCGGAGTCACATGGTGGTAACCTGGGCCCGAAGGCTGCTTTGGTAGTGAGCCATCCTTGATCCCTCATGGTTCTGGTGTGGATCTTATCCTCCTCGGCCATCTCCAAAATCGCCTCTTTCTGCAGTGGGGGAAAACATGCCCGTACCCGATTGAAGCATTCCTCCACTGCCCTCAGGTGATTTGCTAGGCGAGATCGATGTGAAAAGCACTTCGCACAGTTCGGACATGTCCCATCGACAGTGTAGTGGAATGCAACGCTGCGATAGCTGTGCTGCTTCATAGCATGGACCGCCAAGGCCTTTTTAGAAATGAAGAGGGCTTGACATGTCTCACAGGTCCAAGGAGTCGCCACACTCTCCTTGCTGCTCAGATCAGCCAATGCCTCTTCTCTCAAAAGGTCCAACTCAATTTTCTTCTCCCACACCAGAGCTTCAGCACTTTCACGTCGACACTCTCGGCATGCCTTTGCAGCTCGCTTGATCTTCAAACTCCACTTGGCATCCAATTGTATATATGTCCACCAATCCTTCAGGTCAGCCTGCGGTGACAGCGCTAAGCGAGGTCCCATGAAGGTAGAAAGCCATCTGAAAGAAGCACGAAGGGATGCAATCCATGACCCTTCTCCATCTTCACCTGCATGAAGAAGGTCCCAAAGCGCCTGAGGACAATTTGCCAACAATCTCGGCACAAAGCGTAGTCGAGCCACATGAAGTAGATCGCCCGGGGAAAGCATGCCAACCAGTCCACACAATGTCGCCGTAGAGAAGGTAAACGGCGGCAATCCCTCAAGCATGCCACTAGCAATGGGAACCAACATGCTCCTCATGGCTGCCTCCCATGTGTCCAACTCCTTTTGTGTAAAGCATGTCAGGACATGAACATTGAAGATCATTCTGGACATCACCAAGGACTCGAACACTCGCACTTTGGCACTGACTGAAATCTGCTTTCGCCTGAAGAACGGTTGAATCAGCGGTCCCCAAGCTTGTTTGGCATTCCGTAGTCTCTCACGGAGTGCATGTTTTGGTTTTCCATCTGCATGTACCCAACCTCCAAGATGTCTGTAGGACTGGACCACTCGAAGGTGCAGCAGATCATCACCGACGACAACTGGCATGAGGAACTTGGAGAGAAGCATCTGCTGCTTGGCTTGCTTTGCACCTTTCCCTACGAAGGCTCGTAGGACTTCTGTTTTGCCTGCTTCCATGTTGAGCTGCAACCCTCGCTTTCCAGCAACAACGCATACTGCCTGGAAGGCGATTTCTATGATCTTCTCGAGGTCATGTTGGGTAGGAGCTCTCAGAAGAACGGCTAAATCATCAACAAACGCCACTTCGCACCAAGCATGGTCAGGAACTCCACGAGTCGAGTGAAGCTCCTCCTGCGGCCTGGCGTCTCCTTGCCATACGGCTGTAGTGTTTTGTCTGATGTGGTCTGTGACCTCCTCCATCATGACCGTCATCAGCATGTTGAAGAGAATGTCACCAACTGGGTCCCCAGGTCTGGTTCCTTTCGTAGTGAGCGCAACCTCATCAATTCCATCCACCTGAAAGAACGTCGCCTTGAAGAGATCTGAAAGGAGGTACTCCGCATG